CCGTTGAAGAGCATGCACAGGCGACAGCACGCTCCTGAAGTCCCCCGGGGCCTCCGAGCCCGACGGCCCAGCTCGCATATGAGCGGACTCGGAATTGGTTATTCTGATTTTGTGGCATCACTTCTTGGGTTACTGGTAGTACAGAGGGCCATAGTGAAATATGGTAGGGCCTTCATTGTATTCTCAGTCTGTATAACTAGTTATGGCTACAAGTATTGTTCTGATTACCAGCTTTGGAGCCTTTGGATTCCATGGAGTATAAATCCATTGTTTGATTTTGTTGGGGATTTGAATGAAGCTGCCTCCCCGCCCTACTCCCGATCTTCTTTGTCTCTAGATTCATACCCGAAAAACTTATATCCAAGCAATAAGTATAAAAAAAACTTACATCCAAGCAACAAGTATCAAAAAAACGTGAACCAGTCAAGTAGTATTCATTAAAATGAGAGCATTCAATTGATAACTAGTAATGCGTTTTGCCGGAAAATGAGAGCATATCCCGCATGACAGTCCACAAATGATGAGGCAATAATCTGACATGACCAATGGCCAAGTGAAAATCGGGACCAATACAAGAAGTATTCATTCATCCTGTCATACACAACAATGTCTGTAGGACCTGTGCAAAAAACGGTGCTACCAAGTTTTGAATGTTGACTTAACTGTTAACATTCAACTCGGGCTGAAATTTTACAGGTGGCCTATCTAGAAATCAAGCTTCCATCTGAGCAGTTTTGTCTGCCTCTTGGCGTTTAGACAACACCACACATGGGACAATAAAATTAACCTAAGGAACAGAATGATTCTGAAATAAACAACAATAGCATATGCAGATTAATTATCTAATGAATAACATTGATGTGCCAAATGCACACAGACGAGAATCCAAAATAAATTACTTGGATCTGATTTTACAAACGACCAACAATACCAGGTTAACAAAATTACAAAATTCCGAATGTTTTAAACCCATCTAATCGGGTTATTTCTGGTTTCCAACTAAAATGAAGTCAACAAGGAAATTTTCCAAAAAAAAAAAAGATCAAAGACACTGAACATTTTTTTACGCACATTAAGGCTAATCTATCACCAAGATCTTCCAGCTTAAGCAACCGGGGGTGGAGAACATGATCTTGTGAGGCACCAATTGTAGCAGGTGGCATGAATTGTCACATGGCAACTCTAGGGTACCCAATGAATGGCATTAGCTTGTTTCCAGTAGCTTGGCCTTGTTTCCAGTACCCAGTATCTTGAACAGGCCAGCAGACAGAACTCTGCAATTGGAAAAGCAATGGTGTTAAACTTCCATAGAGAATGTGGAGCAACATCTAATGGAACTTCCTCCAAAAACTAAACTTTAGTAATGAAAATAGGTAAGGAAACAGAAAATATAGCTCAGGCTAACCTTCAACTCTTTGCACTTCTGTAAACAAACTAATGCATTGCTTGGTTTAATGTGGTAAAGAATACCTACCAAAATTAAAAATGGCCAAAGCAGTACTGATCTTCATGACAGGAAACTAGTACGTCTTGAGAAACCTGCAATTTCTAGTAAGGATCTAGCTTGAATTTCATAATCAAGAGACCTGTAGCTTACAGCAGTCACTACAGTTTCAGAAAATTATTTAAAAAAGTCAAGCAACATGACACTGATGTAACTTCAAGTGCATCCACAGTGGGGACGGGGGAAGTAATGTTCGCGATGTACCATTTTGGATAGAAGCTCCTCATGGACGTCGGTTGGTGTTGGTCGCCGATGATCTGGTAACAGGATAGGGTTCAAATGATACGGTGGGGAGAGTACCGGTTCCCCTGGTGGACCTTTGTTCTGATGGCTGATGACCGCCGGTGTCAGAATAATGAGATGAGAATTCAAAGAAGAAGAAGAAGGAGACAAGCATACTTATCGCCAGTTGATTTCTTGCCGTCGATGTACTTCACACTCATGAACATTAGCTGTACAATGAAATCACCGGTGGTTTGCTTCTGGGTTAGGGCTAGGAGAAAATGGGAGTTCAAATGATGTCCCAAATCCCAAATAATTCAAAAGAATTTTTCTGTCCGGTTCAACCGGATTCAATTGACTAAGGCCCAAAAGCCCGTTAATGCTAAGATGAATTTGAAGTGGGTACGTGCAACAGCACGTGGAAAGTTATAACGATACAGGTTTAAAGTATGAAAAAATAAAAGGAAGTAGCTTTGGAGGTTCAACTAACAGAGAGATCTTTAATAATGTTTTGTGGCAAATAAAGATATTTTCAAATAAACAAAAATAGAGGTTAATTAATATATATATATATATATATATATATGATTGAATAAATGAACTGTTTTTTACAAAATAAAATAATAGGCTGGTGATGGACGGAAGGTAATTCAAAAAATACAGACCCAGTTTCTGAACGGTATTAAATACAAAGTGGGGAATGGTGAAAGGGTCTAATTTTGGAATAATGACTGGTGTAAAGAAGTCTAATCAGATTACAGAATACTTGGAAAGACAGAATGGACACAGCACTTGGAACCCTAATCAGATTATTCTAGCTATTGTATGACTCAATCATACTAAAGTTGTGATTAACAACTTGTGATGGAAACAGGGCACACTTGTTAAAGAGTAATTCATTTCAATTAACAAATCAATCCCTGGGTCACCGGTTCAACCATCTGGGTGTGTCCAATTCTTACGACTCTGAAAAACCATTCATCAATTTCAATGTAGTCCACTGATCATTGTTAACATGCCACCCGTCCGAAACTTGTCTCAAGCATTGGAATCACCTTTCCCCCCAGTGTAGAATTCACAAGTTGCTAAAAGGTTTTGTAATGTCTAGAAATTCATAAACATCTAGAGTCAGCCGCCCCTCCTTGGAGGGACACAATTAATCAAGAGAAAATTTAAGCTTAGGTTTTGGCTACAATCTTCATCTTGTTAACATGTTTCTTGAACAGAGTATCTAATATAGTAGATTAGATCTTATATAAGAATTCTTAGAAAACAAAGTAAAAATTATCCAATTTACGTATCAAGATCCTTGTGCTACAATTTTGCTTTTGTAGTCATATCGAATTTGGGCAGCAGAAATTCGAATTAATTGAATACAGTTCTATGTGGGCACTACCGACATTGAACATCCATGGAAATTAGCCAAATAAATCTTTTAATTTTCTGTCAAAATTCAGTCTCCGTTAATGGTTTGTCGATTGACATTTAGGCCCCGTTTAATTCACGGGAAGAGGGGTCTGGAATCGAAATCGGAATAGGTTATTCTGATTTCAACTGTTTGGTTGGTTGGAATCGGATTTTCATTCCTGTTCCTGCTGGAATGGCCATTTTCTCAAATGAGGGAATGACCATTCCCTGCCTCTCCCTTGGGAATGAAATCCTATTCCTGCTGATTTTAATTTTTATTTCTATTCTTGTTTGAACCAGAACAGACTATGGGAATGAATCATTCCGATTCTGATTCAGGAAGATTTCGATTTTAACTCCAACGGACCCTAAAGAAATGTTGAAAGGTTCATTGTAGAGACCAAACAAGAGTCAAACTTGGGAGAGAGATATGAAAGACCACTGTACACTCTAATAGTGGAGGAAGAGATGAACAGGAAAAAGACTATGGAGTTGGGAATTCGAAGCTCGAAAACCGTGGCAGAAAACAACAACACAAAGTGCAACTCTATGCTGTGAGCCCAGAGGTGAATCTAACTCCAGGCCTTGTGATTAAACAGAGACTTACGTACTCAGGTTCAGGCGTTCTATTTCTTCTTCCAGCGAAATTTCCCCACTCTGCTCCATCAATGCTGGTTGTGCACACCTAGAACTGTATTCAATTAATTGAAATAGACACAAAGGTTGAACCTGACAACAAAATGAATGGAAATGCAAAAAATAATGACTTAGCAGTTACTCAAACCAAACATTTGGCTTCATGTTCCTCAATCTGAATGGGCTTTGTTGCCACCCAGATTAGTCGAGGTCATGAGATAAATTCGCCCCCAAGTTCCAAAGGCAGGCCGAAGGCTTTGAGGACTCAGAGGAGGGTAAGCCGAGGTTGAGGCGAAATGCTCCATTTTGAGTATGGTAGAAGTCGAGGACTGCAGGTTGTCAGCCCGGTGACGATGTTTCTAGAGATCCGAGGTACTGTAAAACAAGAGATGTCAGAAACCTCGGGTGAAGACCTGAGGCAGAGACTCTAACTCTCGAGTTAGTACGAGGTGTAAGGTGGGGGAAGGTGCAGACGAGGTCTCGATGGTAGCCCTCAGATGCATTGGGGGCCCATGAGTAAATGCTAATAAAGCGAGATAAGTGCAAGAATTTAATTCAAGGCACTAGAAGTAAATGCGGGAGTTATATCAGGATTCTAAGACTTGGACCCATTGTCAATGGAGAGTTACCTCATATTTATACTTGAGCGAGTTGGAGACAGGTGGAGATGAACGCACCATATGAGAGCCATACGAAGTCAAGCGACAGGTCCTTACAAGTACGCCTAACTGCTTTGCGATTGACTCCATACAAAGGCAACAAGGCTCCGCCCTGCTATGGCTGGCGCTGCTAGGCATTTGTGAGTCGGGCTACATTAGGCTTAGTTTATGCAATTCAGATATACACAGAGAGATAGCATGAATAAGATAAAGTAGAGTGATAAGATACAAACTGAATCTTCCGATATTTATATGAGTTCCAAGCTTCCTAATTTTAACCAATTAACGCGTGATCAAATCCACCTTCCCGGCCTTGGCTGGGCTCATGAACGATAATCCATACTAATGCATCTTGTGTTGAAGCATGAGAGAAAAGTTAGTGAGAGACAAAAAGGGAGAGTTTGTGGGAGTGAGATTGAATAGTTGTTTGTTACTTTCTACCATAATGAGAATGCATATATACCCTCTATATGCCCTTTATATGCATAGATAGGTAAGAGTAAAAACTGTTCACTGAAAAGTTCAGAAAATTGAGCTATTCGCTCTTTTAGTATAGACTAGTGTGATTGACGTCCTTGTAATGGAATTAACTTTGCTGTTGAGGGCCAATAACCGAAGACATTCGCCTATTTACGCTATGTTTATGTTTTTGGTGGTCAAAAGGACATAGAGGCAATTATTATTTTACGCCACTCTCATATTAATGTGGCATTTGGTTTTCCGTTGTAATCAGTAATAGTCCTCGTGGACGTGTCGTTGGAAAGGTGGGGACCATCTCCTCGCACCTACTGATTGTGCGGTTACCGAGCCTACGTGGCATTGTCGCAATGGGAGGTCTCATCGTTGAACTCATCAGCCACGTGGCAGTGGCATGATTAGGTTAGATAGAGAGTCGGTTTGTCCTATATATCATTAAAACCAGAATGGACAAATATTATCAGATATTTTTATCCCTTATCTAAGTAATATAAAATGGGCATAAAAAAGAGTATATATATCTTTTACTTTCACTGGAAAAATTGTTCACTTATAACTGTTGAAAAACTATTCACTTATAACAGTTAAGAAACCATTCACTTATAATTATTCAAAAATTGCCTATGAAGTAAGAGTTGTACCTCTGAACTTTTGGTTCTATGGTTTTCAAAACCGGATCAGACCGAAAAACTGGGATTTGATTAGATAATCAGTTTTGTTTTACCTCAAAACTATTATTTTGCTAAAAACCGTTGATTTAGTTGGAAAACTGTTGATCCAGGCAATTGAACTGTTCAAACCATTTGAACTGTTCAATAAGTTTGGCTGTTATTCAACTTTTTTTTTTTAAAACGGGCCATTCATTTGATTCGAACGTCAGATCATTAGACCCATGAACCAGACCCTAACCGATTTGTTGTGCAGTTCGATTTTAAAAATCTTGCTTGGCTCTATTTCCCTTTTCTCTGTATGTGTAAGACGTGACGTGGAAACACATGGCTGCCTTCCTAAAATTTACCAAACCGGATTGGTGACCCATAGCAGCGTTGAAACAACCAAAGTAAAGGTAAAAAACACGATCATGGAATGGATTCTTGGTCCACGTGACAATTGTCTACAACCTCAGCGATGGAAACTCATTCAATCGTCCCATTTGTCCAAAAAAACTTCAAAGTAACATTCAATTCTCAGCCCATCCATCCATCATCTTATTTGATATGGGCCAAAAATTTTCCGTCCAACACCTACTATTTATTATTTATCGGAATGGGAAGGATATGATCTCTACATGATTCAGACGCCAAGAAAGTACTTTTTTTTTATACTCGTGCACTTCCCCATGTTTTTACTTTTTATCAGGAAGGATTCTTACCCTGTATCCCCAAAATTGCTCTCCAACAGCCAAAATTTTTTCTCGAGTATTACTTTCCCATAACGAGAATGTTATTGGCTGGCCTGTACCCACCTATTTGACATTTGGGGAGTGTCGGTACACTCACTGGTCAGGGAGAATCAGAGTCCTATCGTTCAGTACCAGACCTATCACATTTATCTTTAGTCTTGAGAAAGTGGAAATCCCAAACCCATGGTCTTAAATCTAACAAACCTTAGCACCAATATTTATTCTATTCATGAGTTCATATCAAAAGTTGACAAGGAAAGAAGAGAGAGGGTTATTGTAGTATTGGATGAATGACCGTTCATCCTAGGGTCAGAATTTATAAGCTCAAAGTATATTTGGGGTAAGTGCCAGCTCAGAATTGATGTCAATTCACTGACAGGTATGGATGCATAGGGTGTGGGTTTTTTAATTTTTGAATATTTATAAAGTTGTAGCAGAATTCTGCATTAGACATATCCATACTTCTATTGATACATATTTGTTTCTATCAGTAATTATTCCCATAGTTTTGAAAAACCAGCCGGATGATTAGATCAATTGACCTGGAAATATATCAGGTAATCGGTTTCGTTTAATCCTAAATTGTTTTTGAGCCAAAAATTGTTAATTTGGTCAGTGAATCATTGATCCAGGTGATCGAACCATTAACTCAAATAATGATTTTTAGTCACTTTTTATTTTAATTATT